TGCGACATAATATCTGCCTGGCTCAGCTATGATTCTCACTCCAGAGTCTGATGGAAAGTACTTGTCCAATGCTGGGTTGATTACACCAGTGATCTAAGAGGGTGAGATACAAGAGAGCAGGCACTCATTATGGGGAATTCATTGGGAGGAGAAAGATCACAGGCTTTGTAACATGACCTGATGACAGCAGCCATGGCAGACAGTTATCACCGACTACAGCAGAAGTAAACATCTTCCCCCAAACGAGTGTACATTCCTGGTATTTCACTTTGACTCTTCTCTGAACACTGTCTCTATCCTTTTTTTTTTTGAGACAGAGTCTCGACCTGGGTAGAGTGCTGTGGTATCATAGCCACACCGTCCGTATCCTTTTCAAGATTTTTATTTTTATTTTTTACCTGAGAAAGAGTCTCACTATGTGGCCCTCGGTAGAGTATCGTGGCGTCACAGCTCACAGCACCCTCAAACTCTTAGGCTTAAGTGATTCTCTTGCTTCAGTCTCCCAATTAGCTGGGATTACAAGCGCCCGCCACGAAGCCTGGCTATTTTTTGGTTATAATTGTCATTGTTGTCTGGCAGGCCTGGGCTGGGTTCGAACCAGCCAGCTCGGGTGGCTGGTGCCCTAGCTGCTGAGCCAAAGATGTTATACATATGATTTTATAAAAAAACTTAGTACAGGCTCGGTGCCCATAGCACAGTGGTTATATAGCACCAGCCACATACACTGAGCCTGGTGGGTTCGAACCTGACCTGGGTCAACTAAACTGCAACAAAAAAACAGCCAGGCATTGTGGCAGGCGCCTGTAATCCCAACTACTTGGGATGTTGAGGCAAGAGAATCACTTAAGCCCAGGAGTTTGAGGTTGCTGTGAACTGTGACTACACAGCACCTACCAAGGGAGACATAGTGAGATTGTCTCAAAAAAAAAAAAAATTAGTACAAAACAAATTATTACCTAGGGAAGTGTCAAGATACCAAAATATTTTTATTTAGCACATACATGCCAATAGGATAAAAATCCTTCAAATAAGAATGTGGATCTATTTTATAAGTTCATAGTTTAATGGCTTAACTTCCTAAAGGACTGAACATTTAAGATGTTTTAAAGGAAGGAAGTACAAGTCTATCAACGGAGATTTGGGGTAATGATGTAGTAAAGTCAGTATATTCTTAAATTACTCCACAGCAACCTATCTTAATGTAATCAGTCATCCAAGATTTCTGGGAAAGCTGAGTCATAGTGTAGAAAGCCAAATGATAATACATTTGATTTAAATTTTATGTAGCATGGAAGGGACTCAAAATGTCACATGACACAACAGTTAAGTTTGAAACATTCCACAAAGAAATTTGCTAAAACAGCTACTGTGTGTTATAGTTTTGTTATAAATTACCTCTTCAAATTTAAGCTTCACATCCTCAGATCCAGGAAAGCCACCACCAATATCCAGCAGGTACATGCTGAAACCAACCTCAGCCTAGGGTCAAAAAAATGAAGAGGTCAAACATTCAAATTTATAACAAGTAACTAAATGTATGCAGCAGATAGGTTTAAACCTCTATTAATAATAGGAGACAGACTTCTACAAAAAGTTAGCTCTTAATTTTAAAGACCAGTTGTTACCAGTTCTGCCCCCCTTCACCAATGGGATCCTGTATACTCACTCCCATGTCAAAGACGCAGCGGGCATCAGAGATTGCCTGCACAAAGGTCTCAGGATCAGTACAGCCACTTCCTACGTGGAAGCTGGAATTAAGAAAAAGATGAGATGCCATTCCTTATTATTTTTTAAATTTAATTAATTTTTTTTAGATACAGAGTCTTATTTTATTGCCCTCGGTAGAGTGCTGTGGCATCAGGCGATTCTCTTGCCTCAGCCTCCCGAGTAGCTGCTGCAACTACAGGTGCCCACTACAATGCCTGGCTATTTTTGTTGTTGTTGCAGTTTGGCCAGGGCGGGGTTTGAACCCACCACCATGGAGCCAAAGCCCTACTCACTGAGTCACAGGTGCCGCCCAATTTCTTTTTCTTTTTTTTTAATGACAGTTTCACTTTATCACCCTCGGTAGAGTGCTGTGACGTCACAGCTCACAGCAACCTCCAACTCCGGGCTTAGGTAATTCTCTTGCCTCAGCCTCCAGAGTAGCTGGGACTACAGGTACCTGTCACAATGCCCGGCTATTATTTTGTTGCAGTTTGGCCAGGCCTGGGTGTGAACCTGCCACCCTTGGTGTATGGGGCTGGTGCCCTACCCACTCAGCCACAGGTGCCAACCATTCCTTATATTTCTTAAAATAGTGATTAATAGTGGGAGAAAGCTTCTAAGACTAGCATTGCTTAATGTCTTAGCCTCCAGAGATCTCACCTGACACCAACGACATCAATATTTAGCTCTTTCGCCCGTTCCAAAAGAATTCTGCTGGTTTTGAGTGTGGCACCAAATTTAACACTGAGTCGACAGACTGCTTTGG